AAAATAACTACTCCTATAAGAATATTTAATTGAGGTATCTTTGTCTGTAGCGATGAAGCATGAGGTGGTTATTCGTCTTATTCACGAAAGCGTTATACATCATAAGAAGAGGTGATACTTTTCATCTTTTAGAGAGAGACTTTTTCCGCAAATAAGGATTGTGCATTTTGTGTGAAAGAAGAGTGATAAAGCATTGAAGCTGCTCCGTTTATATAATGACACAGAAACGGACTTTAGAAAAAAAAGGGATCACCAAATGACAGAAGTGTATGTATATGTGTACTTAAGGCAGCGTGTCTTTTTGTTCCTGTAACGATGGCCACAAAGGATTATAAAAATAACAACTGAATTTTGTCGAGCACCTGGAAAAAAGGGTGAATAACATCACTATGTGGGTAGAATGAAATAATGAAAATCTCGTTATGCTATAGGACACATGAGATGAACCCCTTGTGTAGTGTTAAACCTTTAACATAAATGGTATACAAATGATAGAAAATAATGTGGTTAGTTTTTACATCTGAAAAAAGTGATAGAGAACTTTAAAAAAGTAGATCTCTCTTTTGTAAACGGAAGCTTAATTATTCCCTGGAACACTGTATTTGATTTGCTTCTTCCTTTGCTATCTTTCTAAGTAATGCTCTGGGTCATCTCTCAAATTCCATCCTTCCCTAAGCAATTTCAAGAATACCGTAAAATCTTCCTCACACCATTCCATCGAAGTTTTGAAATTATTCTTTTTTTCATCTAAAGAAAGTGTTGGGTCCTTAAGGTTTTTCATCATATCAGTGTGCACACTATCTGTGTATCTACACCATGCAATTTTCCGCATTTTATCACACCAGGAATGATTCATATCCTCCGTAAATTCTACAAATCGATTTTTAATGTCTACAAGAATATCATGAAATTGTTTTTCGCAACTTTCAATAAGTTTATCTAGATTTTCAGTGTCATCCAGTTGATCTTCTTCAAGGGTGTAATTGGAGTTATAAAATTCAGAGGTGTGTGTGGTTGTATCTTCTGGTTCTAATTCATTTTCCTCTGTCATTCCAGATACATTGTCACAGTATTCTTCGGCCAGGTTTCTGTTAAATGTGATACCTGTCACTTTCCCATTAAATGCTTCTGTACATTTGGTAGAAAATCTATTAACGTCTCTGCAATTGGAAATTACGAATGCGCATTGAGAAGTTTTGGTTCCTTTTTGTTGGTACTGCTTAAATCCTCACTTAAGAGAAATGGAAGCATGGGACAGAAAAGAAGAAAACAAAAAATGTGTCCACACAGGCGCATGGGTACACAAGAGTCTGATGGATTTTACCTATAATGAAGAGATCCTTGGAATATGCACAATAAAAGGGAGAAATATATAATATTTGTAAGAAGGGTGACTGCATTTATAGTTATATTTTTATTTCTCGATTTTATGGACGAGGTGGAAGATTCAAGTGTAGGCATATTTTTAACTCGATCTGACGAACTGCTACGTTTTGAATTGACGTCTAAGAGAATGCAGCAGCGCTTCATTTTAAAATAATATATTCCCAAAATATTTGGGTGATATTTTTAATGGTGAGTAATTTTGTGAGATGTCTCTTGCCTCATTGGAACATGCTTCTATTGGCAAAGGAAATATAGCAGTGATAACTTCTAAAATGGTACTTAATAATATATTTTTCCTTTTAGCATAGAAGAAAAAAACTATAGATAGTAATTCAAAATTTGAATTATGACGAAGAAAAAAAGGGTAATCAGTTTTAGGCAAAAATAATGACGATTATGGAACAAAATAGCTACCCTTCGTTGGTGCTAATCAGAAGAATATATATAGCAGAACAGCAAGTCCTTTTACTCGAACAACTTTGAAAATTTTCATATTACATACTAAAATAAATAAATAAAGCAAACTTTAAAATAACATTTATTATAATTAATAGTTGTAAACCTGTAGGTTCTGCTGAAATGTGCTCTCAATATTTTGTCAAAATTTGTATTTAACGTAAACGCAAATCTGACTATGTTACAATATTTGCTCATTTTAATATTCGACTCATTCATATCTCTTGTACTTTATAAATTTGTGAAAAAGGAAGCGTTATTTTATTCTTTGGCATGAATTCCTTATTTGGCTTAATTTATATATGTGAAGGGCAAACTGTTTTATTCTTTTTTTTCGTAAGTCACGGCGATTTATATAACAATAAAAAATGGCACAAATAAGTGTAATGCTGTACATGTAGATATATATTTACAGCTCAGTTTAGTATATATAACATTGCATATATTTTTTTTTTTTTTCAAAGAATAATTACGCAAATAACTTAAAGCAACAGCGAAAAATAGTTTGACGTTCAATTTTGTTTTTTTCATATTAGCCTCCAAATGTCGTTAAGCACAGAATTACAGCATAACTAGTAAACTTATATATATCATACCAATCACTAAAAAATTATAATAATAATAAAATATTATAAGAGTGAGGCAACTCATTTCAGCGAAATAAAACTGAAGCTGAGTAGTGGTTCAAGTATTGGTCATATATATTTTGCTAACAACTATTATCAGGTTACGTGCCTGTTGTAAAAAGTGAAGGCACAGGAATGAGGCAATCATTATGATGAAGAAATTGGAACTGACTGTAACCTATTTATAAATTATTTTTAAAAAGTAAAAGTATATTTATAACGCATTTTATATAGAAAAGATGGCAAACAAAATTGAGAGGTTACCAAAAGACTGCTACATAATCGTATAGTAGTTATCCTTTTTATTATTCAAACTTTTATTTTTATGGTAAAATGAAAGCTACAAAGAATTATAGTCATATGGATGTATTTTTTTATTACAAGTTGCAAAATTATTTGTCTTCTATATTGTAACAACCTTTTTAACCAAATCCTGTGAAGTAAATGATATAGAAATATATTTTGCCAATTTTTACCTTTCACCTTATTTTGGTCTCTATTTTAAAAGAATTCTTCTTAAAAGTAACTTTTCAGAATTTTGCTGAGACTATACCATCAGCATTAATGTTCCTAAAATATATACCGATTTTTGTGCGTGTTCTTGTAATTTGAATAATCTTAAAAAATTAGCAAAGCAGCTTGCACACATTCAACCTTCTTCATTTTACTAAAGACTACGTTAACGGAATGTTCGAGACTCTTGATAATGACGTAGAAGATATGAAAAATAATTTTACCCATATAACACTTTTGTGCGTAGTTCCTCTTTTTGCTATTTTTTTTTTTCAATTAAAAAAATGAGGAGGATTCACTATGATGGTTAACATTTTTTTCAGATAAAATGAGGTAATTACCATGAAGGAGCGGTACGCGAAAGACTTCCTTTTTTTCATGTCTTATGTGTTCTGCTTTTCTGATTAAGGGACCAGTAGGTGCCATGAAAAATTTTACATGAAAAAATTTTCACGAATCGGCTAAATCTTATTGAAACAGGTCAAAAGATGGCAAAGAGGAAAAAACATTTGTGTGCGACAAATGAAGAAGTGTGTTATCTGTTGGAAGCTATTCAATATATATATGTGTATTCGCTTAAGGTGTGGTAGGCTTTTTTTGGAATTAGCCACAAAGGGCCACAATTGCCCTAGCATTTCTAAGCCAATTGATAGTTGGAAAAATAAACAGGCTGCACAATACCAAAGAACTTTAGAGTTATAATGAAAGATTAAATAATTTCATTTTAGAGAGAAAAAAGAAGTGTTCATTTAGCTAGCTCAATTCGCTACTTCACTCTGATACTGAATTGCGTGAACATATAAAGGATTATTACCTTTTTGGGTGAAGTTATAAGAGCACTTTTGGGGGTTCAAAATAAGTTGTACAGCTTTATTTGATTTTATTGTTCTTTATTAATATTTCTTTTAATTTTTCTTACCCTTATATATCAATAGAGGAGTATTTTTCGCAAAAAAAAAAAACAAAAAAGGTGGCATTCACCAAATCTGGAATTGGTAACATTTTGAGGGGCTAGGCAGCTAGCTAAAAATCGCCAGACTTGTGTGCGAACATGTACATGTATTTTTATATATATATATGTATATTTGCATTTTTTTATATAATACTTTGATGTTCACTATTCCCCTATATGGGGAAATTTTCCTATATGAAAAAATGTCTTTGAGGATTGAAAAAAAGATAACTAAAACTGCTAACATTTTATATCGCTTCCCTGTTTCTTATTTTGATTGTACACAATTGAAAATGGTTTCCTTGAAAAGACGAAGACACCATCGGGATATACATATATTTTTATAAGAAAAGTAGTTACAAATAAATTATAATGTGAATGCAGTTTCACTGAGCTCATGTGATAATTTGGATTTTTAAAATATATATTTTGAATTATACACGCTATCATTAGGTAGGTGAACTAAAACTACACGCTTAAGCGTGCACCATTCATTACAGCACATATATAAGATATTCTCATGATTTCTTTTTTTAGCAATTTGTGTACATTAAATAATTGAATGTCAATAAACATTGACCATTTTATAGACATTAAAAGAAAATAAATTATGAAATTTATCGTGTGAAACAGCCATGTGCGAGAAGCATTAGTGCTCCATAGCTTCCTTCTACAGAACCCCGCAGCATGTGTTATCACATGGTTGGTATAAAGCATAAATATGTACACATTATTTTTTTAAAAAACTGTTTTTAATAAGTAATAATATATAACTCCTGCATTATAAATGTTGTTTAATTGTTAGAATAGATATAAAATTACGACTGTTAGATTAATACAACTGTTCAGATGAAGCATGGGGGTTCTCTCTATGAGCATATGATATAAAATATACCACGTATCTTTTGAGATCTTCTTGTTTGTTTTGTTTATCAACATTTATTTTTTGAGGTTTTTTTTATTCTGAACACATTTTTATGTTAATTTTTCCTCATTTAGTATCTGTTGATTTTAGCTTTTTCTTTTTTACTATCCTTATAACGTTTTTTTTTTTTTTTTTATGTGTAATATAGGAGTATATATTTTTCAATTAATATATAACGTATATAACATTATATAGAATTTCTTACAAAAAAAAAAAAGAACTGTGTTTTGCATATAATAAGCGTGTTTCTAATTATTTTGTTATCAATACCACTTTTTTTCATTTCATACAACCTATTTACTTGTTCATTTTATTTAAAGAACTCATTGTTGATATGTGGATTAAAATTACAACCGAGAAAAAAAGAGAGAAAAAAAAAAGCGAATGGATGGATGAAGTAATTTTGTACTTGTGTTGACAACCGTGAAGAGAAAAAAAAAAAAAACAAAAAACAACACAGCCCCTTATTTTTTTCTCGCTTATTTACGTACGGCGCAAAAACAATTTAACATTATATTAACGTTGACAAAAGAAAAAAAAAAAACTGGGTGTATTTTATTAAATAGGTGTAGTAATATGTATAAGTTTATGAAGTTTCATTTTTAAAAAGTTAAATTTTAGAAAAAAAGAAGAGGAAACTTTAAAACTAACGTCATCTATATAAAACTGTGTTTAGAACTGAGGCTATATTACTATTATTATATATTCATGGTATTATTAGGATATATTTGTACGTTATATAAGTTAAAATTTTATTCATTTGTGTTTATAGTTTTGTTTTTTGTAGTAGTCAGCATCCCCTAATTTATAATTACACTTTATATGCCATATTTTTTTTAAACTTCGTGTTCTTGAAGTGGAATCATTAAGAATATAAGTCTTCAATCTGAGTTAAACTCTCGAAGGCTTTATTCTATTTTAAAACTACAGTTTATTCATTAAGTTTTACGTTTTTTTCCCTTCCCTTTTTTTTTTTTTTTTACGTCGTAGTTTTTAAAGAATCTTCAATAGGCTTCTTTGTTTGTTCTCGTTGATCCAACATGAAATTAGTTAATTAAAATTACAGAGTATGTTGTTGAAAAATTAGCTAATGGTATGATTAGTTGTTACATTAATTAGATTTCTTTTTATTTTTTATTGATGCTTAAGTTTATTTTATTCTTCCATTTTAGAGATGCTTTATTCGTGTAATTTTCTTCATCTTTAACTTTGGGATATGCATCAATATTAGGTTACTACGTATGGTTAGTCAGTTGCATTATATATATACATTTCTTTTTAAATTTAGAAAAAACTGTGAAACCGTTAAGTGTCACAGTAATTACAATTCACAACGACTTATTTTATGGAAACGAGAATAGTGTAATTATTTATTTAGATACAGTATAAATGGCAACGCTTACGAATTATATTAGGAGAGAAAAATTAAATATATTCCTCTTTTGTGTTAAAATATTTCTTTGTTCCCTCCTAATATGGATTCTAACCTGTTCTAAATGTGTAAGACAGTAAAATAAGAAGGTGCATTTAGGGATTAAAATTTCTACGATTCTGTAACATAGCATGAATTGCACTCTCCACGCTGCTTAGTATAGTGGAGATACACATTTATTTTAACATTTTACTTTAAACCCACCATAGAGTAATAATGGTGTAAATACAGGCGATGAAGATAATTTGGCAAAAACATCAGATTCAAGATTTAACAGGTCGTTAGCCGAAAGGTCAGGGAACTTCCGTTCTTCCTCTACAGGATTATCCGGAAAATCAAAGGTTGGATTAAAAGGAAAAAGAAACAAAATTGTAAATTATAACATAGACACTGAGATGGAATAATAACAATAACAAAGGGAAGTTCTACTTGTGCTTCTTTTTCCTTTTGGCAAAAAAAAACGACAAAGGAAAAAGATATATGAAGGAGAAAGAAATGGTGAAAATTTAGATAACAATATCTTTTGCGAAATTACAAAGCAAGAGTGAAAGGATAAAAGGAGACACAATAATATCCTTAAGAAAGGCATATTTACGTATTTTTATCTGTTCCAGTTATCTTCATATTTGCTTACTTATTTTTTTAATTACACTTGTTTTCTAATTTTTTTTTCTTTTCTGCTCTTCTAGGATTATTACAGCGTTTTAGGAGTTCCAAGAGATGCGACAGAAGATGATATAAAGAAGGCTTATAGAAAGTTAGCCTTGAAATGGCACCCAGATAAACACTTAGATGAGAATGACAAAAATGCTGCGGAAGAAAAATTTAAGACTATTTCTGAAGCTTATGATGTTTTATCAGACCCTGATAAAAGAAAAACTTACGATTTGTATGGTGAAGAAGGAATTAAAGGAAATACGTCCGGTGACGATGTGAATTTTTTTAATGAAGAAATAGATCCAGCTGATCTATTCAATAAGTTTTTTAGTTCTAACAACACGTTCTCGTTTACATCAGTTTTCGACGACGAATTCCCGGCATTTTCATCCTTCGTCCATAACATGGGTTCTAAGAGAGGACGATTTTCCGGTTCCTCAGGTTAAGAATTGGAGACGTCGATGAACCACGCGAGGAGAAGTCTTTCGCGTGTTCGTACTTACATATGTACCTATATATGTGTATGTGCGCACTTATACTCGCCTCACCCCCGTTTTATAACAGGAAGAAACGCCGAAGGTTATAAATCCGAAACTTACGAGGTGAGTCTTCCACTATCCCTGGAGGAACTATATAACGGATGCAAAAAGAAACTGAAAATTACGAGAAAAAGGTTTAATGGAACTCAAAGCTATGATGACGTTAAATTGGTTACGATCGATGTAAATGCGGGATGGAAAGAAGGAACGACCATTACATTTTATGGTGAAGGTGACCAATCATCTCCTTCCGTGCAACCAGGAGATTTAATTTTTAAAGTAAAAGCAAAAAAACACGATCGATTTGTCAGGCAAGGAAATGATTTGATATATAAGTGTCATGTAACTCTAGACAAAGCCTTAACAGGTTTTCAATTTACAGTAAAATCATTGGATAACAGAGATATAAATATAAGAGTAGATGATATTGTTACACCTAATACTAGAAGAATGATTCCAAAGGAAGGAATGCCTTCTTCAAAAAATCCGTCCAAGCGTGGAGATCTAATAGTTGAATTTGAGATTATATTTCCAGAAAGCTTGACTACTGAAAGAAAAAAAATACTAAGAGAGGTCTTAGCCAATACTTTTTAAAAGAAATGCCCCCATGAAAACGGCATTAAGGAAAAGGACATTGCGTGATATTCCAGAGCGAGAGAATTAGCGCCTGTAAAACATTATATAATTTCCTAAAATTCCATTCAAATCAGTAAGTACTCCAAGCCCATTCGATTCGTATTACGTGATGTTAGCTTAATGCCGCTTCTTAGAAGTGAAGAAAAATGAATGGAATTTAGGTTTCATCTAATTAGTGTATTAAATAAATAATTAAATAAAATATGTTTACTTCTTAAGGAAGAAAAATAACAATAAAATGTTGTAAGTTTATATAAAATGTAATATGTAACTAAATAACCTTTTTTTTCCTTCATTTTTTTCCACTCCTTTTTTGTTTAATCTCTATTGTTTTTCGTATTTTATTACTTTATTCCCTGCCTCATTTTTGAAATATCGTGATTTGTAACTATGTTTATGTGTATCGTTTACGTCTAGTTTAGACCATAAAGATGAATTATCCTCTCAGGTATTTTTATACATATGTATATACATGTATCATATGTATATTTATATAACGGTTTGAGGTAAAGAGAAAGATAAAATAAGGAACTCTTTTATAAACAACGTCTTTTCGACGTTAATACCAGATTATTTCAGAAAATGTTCTGCCTAAAATGGTTAATGTATATGTGCGGAGGCTGTATGAAGAGATGGGACAGTGGATAATATTTTATCAACATAGAAAAAGGGTTACTCCCAAAAAATGTCTCTATGCCGTCAAGATGACTTCGGGACCTAAAAATTGATGCATCTGTTTTAGTTCGACTTAGTCGCGGCACCCTTAGATGTAATAACTCGTATAGCGTTATATAACCCGGGTAATGATGATTTACATCATTACAAAATGTTAGTTATGAAAGTTTCGCAACTTTCATAGTTCCCTTCTCTTGATGGCTTATGTTCTAGGTTATATATAAAAAAGGTAGTACATTGTTTGGCTGGATTAAGGGTCCTAACCAGTCTACTTTTGCATATATTTATAATTAGAAACTTTGCAGGAAATGCTAATTAGTATATTTGAAAAATAAAAAGCAAAATATCTGCCTTTATTTTGCGTACTTTCCAGTAAAACACTTTCCTTTGATAGTGATTAAAAAGGTCTAGACTCATAAAGAGCAAAGGAAAAATGCTGATTAGGAGTGGATTAAAAAAAGAGCTAATTAATCATGCTTATATTTTTTTTAAGAATTATGATGCTAAATTGGCCTAATAGAAGAAACTAACTTTGAATTGTTACTAAATGAAAGACTTATGATAAATCGATAGGGTCATCATGTGATCATGCATATGAAGTTAAAGGGATGTGAAATAGCATATTCATTCATGTAGAAGAATGGAAAATAGGGCAATAAGAGGAGTACTAGATGGGGGGAGATGGATATGAGAAAATAATAATGCAGCCATAGGATGCAGAAAATATTTACATGGAATATGGTACATAGGACACTCATGCCAGCCTCGAAACTGAAGATGGGATGCGTAGGGAGTTGTATGTACAACCAAATGAGGCACTTTCTTTTTGTTTTTAATTTTATGAATTATTGTTTAAAATAAAGGAACGAAAAGGTAAAATATGTCGCACCGCTAATCAGCAGATGGGTCAAAACTAGAGTTGCACAATACGCATTATGCAGCAGAAAAAAAAAAAAAAAAAAGAAAAAAGAAAAAAATAAGGGGAAAGCCGTCTCAAAAAAAAAAAAAAAAAAAAAAAGAAAAAAAGAACAATTATGTACAACCCTTTTCTAAAAGAAATATAGTTTAAACTTAAAAATATATAATGGACGACAAAAAAAATCTTATGGAATATTTTCCCAAAATAAGTGTACAAAATTCATTATTCATACAAAAAAAATTGGAATAGAAAAAAGGATCTTTTGCTTTGTGTGGAAAATAAAATTATGATCAATGACCCTTTCAGAATAAAAATAGAAAACAAAAATAAAGCAAATACTATAATAATATATGAGAAATGTTCATATACTCATGTACATAGAAATATATATGCATATCCACTTTTTTTTGCACGAAGACAAAATTTAATGTAAATTCAAACTATATTTAATTTATTGAGTTATTGGCATCATCTTTTAGGTAGAGTTTTATGGTAATACGTGATGAGCATTAAATTTTTCAAAAACTCTATTCATCTTTTTAAGTTTATTTAATTTAAGCTCGTAATAATCTACCAACATAATACCTATGATGAAAAATACAATAGCACTTACTTGAAACAGTAACCTCAGCAGTAGGGCCACACCTGATAAGTGAAGCAAAAGAAGGAAAATTAGTTTGTATTACTTCGTATAAAAAAATACAGTACTGCGAATACGTTTTTCTTTTACGGCACTGTTGTCATTATTTCTTGCTTTCATTGAACGCATAATTTTATATTCAAATGTTGTATCTATTCTTTTTATTAAATTCTCAGGCGCCGTGTGTTTTTGTGCAATCTCTTTTATAGATTCTTTCACTTTCTCATATTCTTCTCTCATTAATGATTCACACGTTTCTTTCCTATTATATGGTGCCTTTTCAAGAAATGCTTACTGATGATAATGACCTCGTCCTCTCATCATATCAAGATGCTTCTCAGCATGGGGAATAATGTCTGGTGCGCATTGTGGTTTATAACCATTCTGACATTTTGAATCATTTACGTTAGGGCCATACGGTTCATACAGTTTTTTATGCATTAAGCAGTTGATCTGGATACTCCCCCTTTTCTGGTCTATTATATTGCTCTTTTTAATTTTCATTTGCATCGAATCAATTATACGGTCCATTAAAACGATCATAATTCTGTGAGGGATATGATTTTTCCGAATCATGTTCACTTTTCATTGAACCTTATGATCTTTCGTGATCGTAAGGAACCTTCCCTTCATTGTCTCCATCCATGGAACTGTAATTAGGATTTCTTCGATCGGGATATCTATCATCTCTATAATTGGGATGTGTGGGTTCTGGATATCTTTTATCTCTATAGTTGGGATTTGGAGGATCTGGAAAATTATCATAATTATTATTGGGAAAGTGTTTATGCGAAAATTACTCATAGCCGGTCTTACCTTTCGATGAATTTTGTATTTTATCAATAGTACCATTAAAGCTTAAATAATTCATTTCGCCGTGGTGTTTTTTACTTCTTCGTACTTTATAAATTTGTTTCTGAATACGTCTATCTTTCAGTAATGAAGACAACTGATGTGCAAATCCATCTCCTCTGTGATATCCTGGGGCTTCTATATATCTTTGTTGGTATTGAGGATAGCCCTGTTGAAATTGCATAATGGCGGATCTCCTCAGTACTCTAATAGCCCTTACCCACCAAGAGTCCTTTTGTTTGCCTTATGCGTTCCATGGTTTCGATCAGGAAGATGACTATGAATGTTCAGGCGAAGTTAGGTTTTGTTTTAAAAAAATGCATTTATTTAGAGATTAAGAAGAATCACATAAAAAAAAAACAGATAACACAGGATGTACGAAAGGAAACACGAAAAGAGAAAAAGAGGGAAAAAAATAATGCATAAATTTACACATGTAACTATTTGTGCCCTACCTTCTGGAAACGCTGCCATATGCATATTAAAATGGAATATGTAAAAGCCTTACTAAAAAGATAAAAGTATTTATTTGTCCTTTCTCTCATACGATATTTTTCTATGATGACTAAAATGTGGGAATGGTTAGAATTTCTTTTTATATGATACTTTTCTAGATAATATTAAATATTATAACGATGTATAGTTTATTTCCCTTTATTCTAATATATATTCTCTATTTTTTACAAAATTTGAAAACCCTTTAATAATCCATCCTTTAAACACAAATTTCGAAAAATTGCTCAGAATGTTATAATGCTTATAAGAGACCGGAAAGAGGATTTGCATTCCGGTAAAAATGGTTCTTAGGTGTATATTTCATATAGAAATATTTCGAAATAGGTTTAATGGTACAAAAAAAGTAAAACGAGCAAGTTAAACTGATAAAAATAGAAGTTAAAATAAATAAAATACATTAGAACCACTAATTCGTAAAATAAATACTCCTTTATTCTTTGCAAGAGTTATTTCTGCACAATAAGTTTAATATTTAGATGAATAAAATGCTGAAAGTAATAACTCATCCGATGAAAGAAATAAAATGAAAAGAGACGGGGGACAAATTGAACTGGAAATAGAGTAGGACGCAAAATAAACTATTGCTTAAACAGAAACATGGGAAAAATAAATTTATTTAAAATAGGTTGGTGCTCATTTTTTTTTTGTACTAAGACATGTATGTACTATTTAAGAAATTAATCGTTATTATAAATCAGAATTAAAAGGAATACAACTTAAAAAGATACAGCAAGTTTTATGCTACCTTATCACACCATATAACTCATTGCATTAGGAATAAATGGGGATTATAGGAAATTTGCTATGAATTTACCGGTCGTAAAAAATTTTCGGATATTAGTGGGTAAAATACATTTTTGAAAGATACTACCCATAAGTATTATTCTCTTCCTGATATTTGCATATTTATGTTAGGTAGAATTTTCAGAAATTTTGCTTTTTTTTATTAATTGTTGAAGAGATTAATCTAACACTTGTGTACACTTGGATACCCCCCATAATTTTCTCCTCACAGGGGATACACAAAACAACGAATTAGAATTAATTTTTAAAATATGAGTCAATCTCTTTCTATAAGAATGTGATTGTGTTATGTAGAAAATATAAACTGAAAAAATGGGACGAAGAAAATAATATGAAAAACAAATTAGGTATTTTTTCTTTTTTTCTGAGTTTGTTTTTTTGGTGAGTTTAATGTAACCAGTAGTACCCGCTGTTACTCTAATTTATTTTTTTTTGTTAATACATTTTTTCACCCTCTTTGAAGTAGATTACATTTAAGAGAAAACAAAATAATCCTTTTCACTTATAAGAAGATTAATTCTTTTTTTACATCTAACAGTGTTTTACTTTTTCAGTATGTCATAAAATCTCCAAATATGTGGCTATTAAATATTTTCATTTTGAAAGGAGTGTGGATATTGCTACATACATGTATATAAGTCACCGTAACTTTGTTTTAATCCTATGTGGAGATTTCAATTGAGCTATGTGATAATGTGTGTTTGTTATGGTTGATAATGAAATAAGCATGGAATTTTGAGCATATATTAATCATTAAAAAATTTAGTCGACACGTTAAATGCAACATGTTCAGTTTTTCCAAAGTGTATTAATGTCCTAGCTCATAGATTAGTTCATGAATTTTTTGTAATAGTTAAATGAAGTTTTCTTCTTTTTTAAAAGACGGATACATTTAATGTTCTAGAACATTGAAATATGTTTGTAGAAAATGGTAAAAAAATATATTCCTATATTTTTTTATATATTATTATTCAAAATACTATCATAAGAAGCTCTAGGGAGTATTATATTGGTATGAATACGATAAAGCTTGTAAAATGTTTTAAAAGTATATCAGTTAAGATAATCATCAGGTGAATATTAAAATGGTAAATAGTACAGCTTGATTCAATGTTAAATAAAATAGCCTTTGCTTTTTTCTTTTATTTTAAAAGTATCGTACGGGAAACAATTTCAGCATATTTTTTAAGAAATCGTCTGAATATGACGTGATTAACAGCTAAAAGTGTTATAATCTTTGATCTCGTGAAAGCGTTATAAAATAAAAGAAAACGGTGAGGGGGATAATGTGAATATGTAGAAAATGAGCAGGAACCAAATTATGAATATGGCGAAATAATATTAATAAGGTTTGTTCTCGTTCTTCATATATGTACTTAGCGGTAACAGATATAATCGGGGTTGCAATCTGTAATGGAGAACTTTTACCCAGTTATACGCTTATATGTTTATATTTTCTTAAAATGTGCACAAAACTGAAAGGGCATGTGTTGCTACCCTGCGATATTTTGTCAAAATGGAAAAAGCAAGTGGGTCGGTACGTATGCTTGTGTATACCTATGATTACATCCCAAGGTAAGGAAATATTTTTTTTTTTGCCTTGTTCACTATATCACAATAGAATTTAAATAGCCACTGAGTTCGAAGGTAAATAAAATTAGCGCCAATATTGGTGGGAAGCAATTATCCTAATTTTTTAATATGCTGATTGCACCCCTATGTTTAACTGTATAGGGGTCATATGATTAGCGCAATTTGTAACTTAACCCTTGAAAGAACTTTCAGTTTCATTCTGTGTATAGTACAGTGAGACATTAATATGATGCCTAGGGTGATATACTTGGATGCAAAGGAATGTTTGATGACGTTTTAGGAATAGAATAATGAGACAGAGAATATGCATTAGTTACTTGAGATAATGGTCTTATGTGGATATAATGGGAACTCCGCGTACTTTATACATAAATGGCTATTGAAAGGGCCAAGATATTCATGCCGGGGTAGGCATGCCAGGATATCCATGCAAAGATGCCCATTCAAAGATACCTGTGCAAGGGTTATCTACTTAAAGATGAAAGACGTGTAATCGAAAGCATGGGTGCTAATATGCTGCGAAAATTGTGAAGGTTATTATCTTAGACGCTGGTGGAATGTCATACGTCTGCAGTAGACATAGGCGTAGGCAACATGGAGAAGTTTCCTGATTTATTGAGCTCATATGCAGTTGATAAGTAGTTACATTTATTTGGCAAATAAATATACAACAAATTGTATTATCATTCACAGTTTTACGGAATAGATATATTCGCCAACATCTTATGTAAAAGGTACTTTTATAACATGGAATGAATTTTTACATTGCAGAAATGAAGCCTTACAGAGTTCAACACAATTTAATAATTTTCTCTATGATAGACCTATTTTTACGCATGTATACAGCTCTTTTTTGCACTTAACGCATATATGTAATGTAAAAGGATGTTTTTTTTTTTCTGAAGATGTGCAATATATTTCTTTGCAATTAATATTACAAGTAGTAATAGTGTCATTCACCCTATTGTTAACTGAGTTTATGCATATGGTGAATAACAAAATGGAAAGGAAAAATTCGATGAAATGGTCAGTGTGAAATAGGCACTCAAGGGAATAACATCAACAAGAGCCTAGTAATCTGTCCATCTAGCGTGCTTATGATAGGTATGTAAATGAATTATACATCAGGCTTATATGCAATAGTGATGTATTACGTAAAATTGCTTCCCCCTGTGCGGTTATAAATATATCTGCTCAAGCAGAAGAGGTGATAGGTCCTTTTGCTTTTTTTTTTTTAACTATATAATTATACTATATATGTTAATAGTAAAAGAAATGGAAAAAAAAACACAGAAAAAATAAGTGTCTTATATGTTTAAAAAAATGCTAACAGCTGGTAATTATGTGAAATGAAATCGGAACCAAATATGAGTTTTCCAAGTTATTATCTTATAACCCTCAATTTTTACCACTACGCATGCTATAAATTTTCTATATGGCGTAGAATACTAATACGTTTAGTCAGACACTGTTATAAATGGTCTTTCACATACTTTGCGTTTATGAAAATAAAAATATGATATCCATCATTTATGTTGATACATATAGGAAGAATAGGATCATAAACCTTTTTCGTTCTTCTGTTGAAGAAATGGCTTTTAGAAATGTTACATACGGCAGTTTTGAGCACAGAGGAGGGGTTGCGTATTGAAGTGAAAATATTTTTTTTATATTTATTCTTATAAAAGTCCGTATTATCATCTTGCATCCTCTGTGCCTCAATGATGATAAGAAATAGTACGTGCTATACATGTAAAAGGTAATAGAGGAATCCCTACGTATATAACTAACACTGGTAAGGAGCAGTATATCTAGAAGCTATAACCGCTCGATGGATACCATATGTGTATAAATAAAACATGATTAAATAAGTGCGTCACCATTTATTTATCTATCTGTAATTTGTAGAAGAAATAAAAGAAAAGGGCAAACTCCTCTATTATTCATTTTAGGTTAGTATAATAGGAATTTGTGCCTTCTAGTGTACCCTGCTGATGGGTCACTTGACACCAAAATATACATAAGTAGTGCTGCTCCTGAATAGTGACAATTCATATTCCCTAGAAAATTATTCATCGCTAGGTGGGCTTTAAAGCAATGTTTATAAGAATAATCGTGTCAGCAAATATATCTGAAAGAAGATGTTTTAAATGGTGTTTACATTAAAAATAGCTAATTGCTGTTATAATATAAGTTCGTCGAATTCTAAAAATATTGAACATAACAATGAAAAAAAGTTATTTTGAACAAGAAAAAATCTAATAATAAGGATATATTTTATATGATCTATCTTTTTTTATCAAACGCCTTTTTAGGAATGTTTAGATATGTAGTATGTTACTATTCATTATTCCTTTTATATTTGTTTTAAAAATATATTTAAAATAAAATTTGACATAGATATTTTCGCGCTACAATAAGAAATATTGTAGTACCATTTCAAAACTTACAAGCTGAACTTATCAATAAAGAGCTATGAAGAAAATGTATATTATGTCAACAGCTGCTGTTGCACATATCTAATAATATGGTAATTTTTCTTTTTTAGTTAGATGACTATATCTAAAAAGAAGATATTGTTCCTTGTTAACTATTATGAAGTAGATAGTTATTTCCGGGTATTTAGAACTCCCTTATATGCCCACGAATAGTTGATTGGTTCTTTTCTTAATTTTTTTTCGTCTGGAAGAATTTTACTTTAGATTTAGTTTTTCTTTTTATATAATGGGGGCATAGTATTTGGTACATTACTTCATAGCCACTTTGCCATATTATATTCACTATCACAATATATATAATATCTCTATAATTTTTCTTTTTTTTTAAATTTCGGTTTATTTGAATTTGTTCTAATATCATGGTGAAGTTAAAGTTCCTTTCATGACGTTTTATTTAATTTTACTTTTTGCCCATTATTTGTAAATTATAATATATAATTAGATTATGTGGCTTTCAGTTCGACCCTTTTGCATTTTCTTTTTTGTTTCTGTGCTTATTTTTTGTAACCTTCTGCTTTAAAATGTTTTCTCCTTTTTATCTGTGTTTTCTTCTCAACATGTTTCGCCTCTTAAGCATGATTTTTGCATATGCTTACAGTTTCATATATACCTTGCCATTATTAATTATTCCATTCGATTTGTTTATATACACTATATATGTGCATTAATTTACTTAGTTTTTTTGAGTTATTCCTCTGACATCATATTTAAGGGGATAATTATAGTTTGAAAAGGAGCCATATGCTTTATATATCAAAGAATGAATCTACGTTGCATTCATTCTTTTAAAGTTCCTCACTATATGTCATGGAATGTTGATTATTTTTTATTTCATGAACTGATATTTTTTCCATCGTTATAATGGTAGAGCGTGATTCATATAACACTGCAGAAAAAATAACGAGAACACGGTTTAATGGAGCACGTACACATTTTGATGAGATATATACACAGATTGATGAAACATCTACGCAGTTGGATGATACGCCTACGCACTTGGATGAGACATCTACACAGATTGATGAAACATCTACACAGATTGATGAAACAGCTACACAGATTGATGAAACAGCTACACAGATTGATGAAACATCTACGCAGTTGGATGACACTCTCAAAAGGCTAGATGGAACACCAACGGTTGATTCTTTCATTAATAAGGATGGTTTATTATTGAGAACATATGGGTGGTTAGTAAAAAATGCTATAGGTATTATAATACTAATACACGGTTTAAATTCCCACGTTAGGTT